CTGGCAGGGGCTGGGCTTCCTGCCCCCCATGCTGCAGCTGCCAGCCAGGAGACGGGCGGCAGAGGAGCCTGCGCCATGCCCACAGAGACGGCCTGCGCTCCTTTCTGTGATACTGGATGGAGAGGAGATGGGACAGGACAGGAGGAGGCTGAGGGACAGGCAGGCACTCACCAACCAGAATGAGGACGCACACCAGCAGTGCGATGAGGGCGCCGGGGCTCAGCGTAGCTGACACGACATAGGCTGTGCTGTTGCAGGACTGGATGGCCCCGTTGCTGTCACAGCCGCAGATGCGGATGGTCAGAGTCCCCGTGCTGCTGAGGGCCGGGGGGCCGCTGTCCACCACCAAAATGGGGAGCAAGTACACATCCTGCTCCTGGCGATTGAAGCCCATTCTCTGTGTGTGCACCGCAGCTGTGTTGTCTGCAGGGAACAAGTAAATCCACAGCAAAGTCACCCCCATAGCACAGCCAACAGGACTCACCGTGAGCTCCTCCATGCTCAAGACGAACAGCAGTTGTTTGTGTGCCAACTCCAGCAACCACCCAAAGAAGGGACAGGGCCTCCCTCCTCTCCACCACAGGGGAGCAGAGAGCCAGCTTGTGGCTCCCCTGCACCACTGCCCAAGCGCCCGGAGGTGGCCAACTCCGCTCCAGCACATGTCCCTTCACCGGGCACCTCGGGGCCAGCCCAGCGTCACCCACCAGCAGGCCCAGGGTATGGTGAACCCAACACAGGAGCAACAGCACGTGGGCATCTGAGCTGTGCTGACGAAGAATGCAGTCAGAGCAGAGAGAGGGAAAAAACCCTTTCGGAAGACCCTCTGAGGGTGGCACAGGCAGGACTTGGGATAGAAATCAGTTGCTGACATGGAGACCAGAGCAGATGGGGGTCTGCAGATGGCACTGAACCTGCAAGTGCAGTTACTGCTTCCAAGCCTGACAGCCATGGGTGAAGGGTTTTGCCTTAGCCAGAGAGCCAAATACCCCCAGGACCCTTTGTAACTTCTGAAGGAGCAGGCAGAGCTCCTTCCAAGCCTCCCAGACAAGCCAGCCATCCTCCTCCCCATCTGCTCAAACTCTGCTGTTTCAGGGGCTCAGCCGGCACAGCATAACCCATTACGATCCCATTAACATGGCCACTTCATGGGACCCTCCAGGGCCCCAGTGCCAGAGACTAGCTCAAGCAGCAGCTGCGCCCAGATGACCTGGAGCGAGGACGGTAGGAACCGGGACTGAAAATCAGCTCAGCTCCTTGCTCATGTGTGCTACTTGCTGCCAGCCAGCAGCAGAGCAGGCAGGGAGGGACTAAATAGTAGCTGAACAATTGCAGCCAGATGTCAGAAGTCGCTGCCCACTGTCTGCAGTCTTTATCTAATAAAACGTAGATTGGCCCACTCACAGCAAGGTGCTGCTGTCTACAGACTCTCTCTTCATTGCACGTGATTTATGCTGGACTGGCCCCTTTCTGTATCAATCAGCTCTTCGATCGGAAAAGACATCTATTCTAATTCTGGCTCTTGGGCTGCCTGCCACCACGGAAATTGCCATATGGATTGGGTGCTGCTTGGGAGCACACGGGGCATGGCGGGGACAGGAGGTGAGACGAGAGCAGAGCAGAGGGGCAGGCACACGCAAGCTGCGGGAAGATCCACTGGCCAGATCCTGGAGGCGCTGCACAGCAGTCGGGGCAGAGCAGAGCACAGAGCCCATACTCCCCCTGGCTGCTCAGGGCCGGGGGCAACGCAGAGTCTGCCAGGATCCCAGTGCTGAGCCCTCACCCAGCTCTGCCAGTACGAATGGCAGAGGCACAGACAACCTGCCCACAGGACTGCTGCAACCAACCCCAGCAAAGGCCAAGCGAGGGCAAGGCTGGTCTCTGCTCCAGGGCAGGCTGGAAGAGGAGGAGCTGGGGCAATCTGCACCCCTCCACGCTGACAGGCAGGTGTGGAGGCAAAGCCCACCCAGCATGTGCTGGAGCTGAGCACAGCTAGGTGCAGCAAGAGCGAGGAAGGTGGGCTCTCTGTACCCCGAGGGGAAGCAGCAGTGCACGCGCTTGAGCCCAGAGCAGCGCTCAGCTGTCACGGTGCCAAATACTAGATTGCTGCTTCCCATCATCAGGTTTCTGGACTCAGCCCACCAGTTTTCTGGGTTGCCAGATTACGGCCACATTGCTGGGGAGAGCAGAGCCTTTGGTACCCTAGCTGGGCAGAGCTGGAATTCCAGTATAAAGGAGACAGGGAGAAAGTTACCTCTTCCAGTTCACCTGAGAGCACAGGTTTACCTTGAATTGCTCAACACGGGAAAGGCAATGAGACCAGAGAGGACGACACCAGCCAACATTTGGACGTGGCACTGAATGCCACAAGGGCAATATTCAAAACCACATCTTATTCATGCACACAGAACTGTGCTGCAGGTCACCAGAAAAAACTCTTCCTTTGGATGTGCCATCTTTTATCCATTAAGGGAATTTTTCAGGTAACCTCCTTCATCCCTGCTTGCAGCAGCAGACTTCAGGCAGGCAGCATCCTCAGGAGCACAGAGCAGAAGACAGCAATAAGGCAAATGCTTGTACAAGTAGATCTTGCTTGAGGATCAGCATGCCTCAGAAGGGAGACACTGCATGCAACATCAGCGCTCTACCTGCAAGGCTGCAGCGCCCAGCACCAACCCATGCTTTGTGTCAGAAGTGATCCGAGTGCTGCAGCATCACCAGCCCACAGAGGGGACTGCTCACAGCTGAGAGTCTGGCTCCTCACACAATGCCCAGCACATGAGGCAGGGATCACCAATCCTCTGCCTGGGCAGCTGCCTGGTCCTGCAGGACATCTGCCACCGCGACTGAGACCCCTGGAGCAGCACATGGCTCCAGCACAGAGGCACCTTGGCAGAGCTGTTGGGAGGAGTGGGGAGCACCAGCCCCCCAGGCGGCAGGGAGGCCGAAGCGAGCGCAGCAGCCTGCCAGCAGCAGAGTCCTCTGAGAAGCTGCCTATTGCCTACCAGGGATGAGCCAGGAAAAATTATTGTTATGCTAATCATTCACGCAAAGGTAACAAGATCTCATTTGGTGCTGCTCCCTCAGCTTGCTGCAGCATAGCAGGGAGATATAAATAACGCTAATGGCACCACCTCAGCAAGAGGCCAGGACTAACTCCCAGCTAGGCCAGCTAAACATAAGCCTCAGGCATCCAGATCCAGTGGGGATGAAGCCACAGGACAAACGGGACAGACCAGCTTGCTATGAACGAGCAAGGCGCTGGCCCTCAGCCCAGGAAGGTCACCATCGCTGGACCATCACACCAGTCAAATAACCAGCCTGAGCTCGGGGTCAGATCCTAGCTCAGAAGATCCCCGTACGCACAGCCCTGTACCTCCATGTGCTGCTCAGCCCATCCCTGGCCCAGGTCTGATGAAATGCTGTGCTTGGGAGCTCTCCCAGCCGAGCACCCCTTTAGCGCTGCGTAAATGCAGGCATAGCACCATCTCCTCACCTCTCTGGAAATGCAGCAGAAGGCTGGCGACTCCACTTCTGTTTACAGCCAGCTCCTGTTAGGGACCTGCCACAACGCACACTGCATTTTTAGAAACAGTCTCTAGAAATCAAGGGGAAATACAAGTTGCAGAAAGGCAGCTACTAAGCTCAGCTCAGCTGAGACTGCTCAGACAGCACGCTGTGCTGCTGAGCCCCTCGCCTCCAAGTACAGGAAGGAGAAACATTTTCACTTTTCCACAAAGTCAAAATAAAGCAGCCAGTGCTTAAATATCAGCAGCACGACAGACAGCTCTGCTCCGAGAAACCTCGGCTCACGAAGGGGCTGAGGTTTTGCTCTGTAACCCAAAACTCGGTGCTAGGGAGGAGAGATGAAAATCCCAACTACAAAATGCTATTTCAAACAGCATGAAACTACATTTTCTCCCTTGAACAGGGTGACATGAGCACTTCCTACAGGAGGGAGGATCCACAGAAATCTCACATCTACACCTACAACATTGCTCACCAAGGCTGGACCGCAGACCCCAGCCTGGCAGTGACCATACCCCTCCAGGCACAGTGTTGGCTCCAGCCACCTCTCTGCTGCCCACCCGCTGTGCCCATGGCCACGGCTCCCCAGGCACCCTGGACAAGTGTTTTCTCTGTGGGGTGTTTACATCCCTGTTACTTGCAAACTTTTGTGTTCCTTTCCGAGATACTCCAGAAAAACCCTCCATTGTCCAGTGCTGCTGCCATGCAACGTAGTCTATTGGACCACAGAAGTGAAAAAAATGTTGCCAAGTTCTGGAAAATGTATCCTGGAAAATGCATCCAAAGCAATCCCCTGCAAACAACATAATTTCTCTTGGTACAGTTGTTTCTTTACATGCAGCTGACCCAAGGCAGTTGCTTCAGGATATGTGTCTTGGTGTAGATTTGTCTGTATCGGCACATCCTGAGTCATTGCAAAGAAAAGCCAGGCAGGCCTGGCCCTGCAGCCACTTGTGTCTTTTCCTCTGTAGCAGCTTTCTGCAAAGTCCATTTTTGGGGTCACGAGGTTGAGGAGCAGTGTCTCCCAGGAGGCAGTACTGAAATTTGAATAGACATTAATCCACAGCTTTCCTGTGTTGACAAGTTTGGATTTCCACACGTGCGTGTTCCTTCCCAGTCCTTGCAAGGTTGCACTTTGTGCTGCAGTTACACCACTCTAAAGCCTGTGCCACGGGTTCGCTGAAGCCCCAAGTCGTTTACTATCATTGCTGTCTTGCCACAGAAACCAACATTTCCTCTGCAGGCTTCCTATGCCACCCTTTCCCTGACCACACAGCGACACTATCCCGTGTTACATCATACATCTTGTGCGATGGACAGGAGATGGCACCTCTGCCTGCTTGACAAGCAAGTCACCAGGCAGAAACCAGCTGAGTTGAGTGTGCAGGGACCCATCAATACTGCTGTAAGAGGAAAGTTTAGAAACGCAATATACTCTGGTGCTAGCTAACATCCCTAGGAATAATAAAATAATTAAATCTCTCAGACTCCGTCTCCAAAGAGGCTCTTGGCAGCTTCAAAGACAGAACTAATAAATCCTTCCCATAACTCAATCTCGAACAGCACTAGGAGAGCAGAAGGGAGCAAGCTACCTCTTGTTTGGATATCGATATCCCTGCCCTCTCCCACACTCCCAGGGCCCCATGTGCATTTGCCTTCCCCTTCTTCGTCAGCTGCTCTGCAGCTCGGACGCCCAGGCACGCCAGCTCCAGGGAGGTGCACAGGGCTCCCGGCCGGGCCTGTGGCCACGCTGCCACCGGAGCTGCCCAAAAGAAGCAGACCACCCTTCAGCCCCAGGTGGGTGCAGCTGGTAGGAGAAGAATCTGATTTTTCCCTTTTGCCTCTTTCTTCTCCTAAGTTCTCTGGGTGCCAGGCCACAGCACCACTGCTGCTCATTTGCCTTTTGCTCAGCCCCTGTGGAGATTCGATGCTCTTTTTCACCCTCCCGTCAGAGCAGCATCCGTGCTGCTCGTGCTGAGAACGGCATCCTTGTGGAGCTGGAGGAGGCTTCCTCTATCCTGAGGCAATCCTTGAATCCTAACATTTTGCTTTTGATTGTTCAGATTTTCAGATCTTGTATCACCTGTTACATGCTCTTAATGAGACCTGCAGAGAGTTCAGACATCTGTTTGCTTAGCCCTTGAGCTCTGGAATCAGTAACTCCATGTGTCACTCCATATTATCTAGCACCCCTTCCAGGTTGCTGCGCTTGCATGCTTCCTACCATCCCTTCCAACACAATTAGCATTTCTTGGAGAACATGATTTCAGGCTTTAATTGCCTTTGATCCTTCTGTAATCAATTTTCTTAGGCCAGAAAGACCCAGCAAAAGGCGACTTAGGAGGCAGAGGATGGTGAATGCCTTTGGAATGGCACCAATTGGACCTGTGTGAGGTCAACTTTTCCAATTCTACCTCTTCCTTTAGGCACTTCACTTGCTGGGCACCTTCCTTCTGGAACGTGACCGTTGTTACCACACATGACATTTATTCCTTGTCTGATGAATTAGGAAGTGCTTGAGCACTCCCTTGGACAGAGCAAAAGCAAGGAAAGAGAGATACCAGTAGGAAATGGCACTGTTTCTAAAAGCCTGACTCCTGCAAACCAGCTGTAATTCAGCTAAGGCAGCCTCCTGCAGGGTCACCTTTTGCTCTTGTATCTCTGACCCGGAGCATCAGAGCCAAGGCAGCTCTGTGTGCTGCTGGCAGCTGACGAGCGGGGCTGCGGGCGATAACTGCAGGCGCTTTGCAAGGGCCGGCCCCACTCCGCGCAGTTGTGGCTGCAGCGGGACCTAACCCAGAAGGGTTTGGCAAGCAGCAGCATTGTGACTGTATTGTGGCAGCATCGGGCTGCAGCAGACCTGCCCTGTGACCACTGCCATACTCCCACTTAGTAGCAGGTACTCCACAAGCTCTTCATCTGATGGACAGGCTGCCCCATCAGTCCCCTTGGACTTTCCCTAAAATCCTCACAGGCTTCCTCCACACTGCCCACGAGGAGCTCTAGAAGAGCCCAGGTAGGCTCAGGGTCCCCTCCTGCCCTCCTCTGCCTGACACGGCTTCCCCCGCGTGACAGGGCTCTGCACTACAACCTCTGACTGACTCTCACCCTCTCTGCTTCCCCAGCCTCCTGCAGGGGCAGTTTTGCCAGTGAAGTGACTGCCCAAGCGGCCGCCCCCGCGCTGCCACTGACTGCCGGGGCAAGACAGCAGCCCCCTGAGGGAGCCCCTCTGGGCCACGGCCAGCTCAGAGCCTTGGACCCCTCGCCGGCAGCTCGCAGCTACTTGCTGCTGCCTGAGGTCACTCAGGCTCCCACCTACGAGCCCTGCCATGGCCCAGATGAACTGTAACGGGAGCGTTCACGAGCAGATGCTGATCTCTGCCGTGCTGAGGACAAGTCACCCTCCCGAGGTGGCTTTCTGCTGCCTTGCAAGCGCCGAGGGAAGTAGGTGCAAAGCAAAAGAGGGAAGGATTTAAGCAAATGCTTAGTGAATCCATCTGTGCTGACATCCATCAGTGTCACTCCTTGGCTGCAAAAGCAATATTTATAAATCATGTTTCAAAACTGGCTACAAATTTGTACAAAGAAACAGATGGGCTGGTGGTAGCAGTTTGTCAGCACTGATATTTATATGGGGGAGTAGAGACAAGTGCAAGAGGGGTGAACACATGAGAGGAAGGCAAGGGGGGGGATAAAGGAGGATGCTGCAAGGGAACCCATGAGAGCAGGGGGCGAAGGTGAGCGCACCCAGAGCGCTCAGTGAACTGGAGAAAGGCGGGGGGGACACGACACCAAACAAAGGGAGACAGCACTAAAACACAGACACATTAGAAACGAGGGGTGTCTCCATCTGCACAGGCAGCCGCCTCCTCTTACTGTGGAAGACTGCATCGCTTGGCAATTGAGAGGGTCTCCAAACACCCTGGGAACAACCCTGCAGCAACAGCATTTGTTTTCCTGAGAGCAGAAGGCAGGAGGTGATGCCAGCTTTTACTCATTTTATGCAGTGTTGCACCACATGTAAAGTTTGTGGGATCGTTTAGCACGAAGGATCACCCTGTGCAACAAGAGCCCCGTCCCACTCAAGAGAGCAGCAGCTCTGGAGAAGGCAGCGGCGCCCAAGTCTGTGTCCTGCACCCTTCTGCAGGGCCAGCTCTCGGGTCGCTGCTGGTGAGTCCCGGCTGCGCAAATGGGGCGATCCCCCCCCAGCGCCGGGCAGCCAAGCAGCCCCCGCTGAGCCCCAGCCACCCCTGGCCAGGTCCCTCCTGCCAGACTGGCAGAGCAGCAGGGATGGCTCTGGGATCGCACCCCAGCTGCAGCAGACATCCCGGCTCTGAGCAGTGAGTGCGGCCCCGGGCCCCTCGGAGCTTCTGGAGAGGTCCGGGTAGGGATGGACACCGAGTGTAACCCAGCACACCCAAGCACATTTTCATAAGGTCCTTCAGAGAACGTGAAGGAAGTTAATCACTGGGTGGGGCAAAATCCTGCAGAGGATTAAAGCTTGCTTACATGATAAGAAGCAAGGTCTTGTGAACAGCTGCCCCACAAGCGCAGGGGGAGGGACAGCTGCACTTTTTAGGACACAAAATAGTATCAGTCCTACGATTATGTCTGAAGCTTTCTGCTGCAAGTTCCATTTTGACCATCCCTAATAATGCTGAACCAAACTGAGCAAGTGGGATCTTACGTCAGCAAAAGGCTTCTCTGATAAGCTCAGAACAAACTAAATCAGACTTCTGACAGATGAAGCTGCAAAAACCAGAGCAAAAAATGGTTCAAACCCCCCCCAAAAACAAAGACTCATTTCAATGTGATCTGCTGGCTTCCACCTGGGCTGGCCCCTTTGATAAGTAAGTGCACATCTGGCTGGAGAAGATCCTAGTATCTGCAAGGGTTCCTGCTGTACTTACTGCTGCAATCAGCACCTAAATTCACCCAAAACACCAGGCAAAAACATGAAGCAGCCTGATAACTATCTTTTTGGACTGTTATCGCCCATACAAATGCAGCCAGACCTTGCAGCCTGCAAAGCCAAATAGCAGACAGGGCTCAGCCAACAAAACCTGCATTGCACCCCGTTGGCTACAGCAGCAGGCGGGGATCGAGCCATCGGGAGCTGCTCAGCCTAGGGACACAAAGAACCCCAGAGCTTCCCAGAGGAATGGACAGGCCCTGCCCGGCTGCCTTTCCCAAAAGACAGATGAAGCCTCAGGAAATGCAGAGGAGCCATGCTCCCGAGCTACCACCTCACAGGGAATCTGGCTCAGCTGGCCGAGTCCCAGATAAACCACATGGCCATGGGCCAGCTGCTGCACAGCCCAGATGCCTCCCAGGACTCCTGAGCTGCTTCTGTTTGTTTGGGACACAGGGGCTGCCCACCTGCAGGGCAGCCCCAGGATGACACATGCTCCAGGATTTACCTTAGAGAGGGATAAATCATAATGATCAAAATGGGAGCATGTTCATCTGTAAATCCACATCATCTCCTTGCCTGCAGGCAGGTTGGATATTTCGCATCAAGAAAGGGACCGAGAGTCCTGAAAACACTGAAGGCTAGCCAGGCAGCACAAGTGGACCTTTGGACCTGTCTGCAGCAGAGAAGAAAGCTGGCAGAGCCTCCATGAGGAAATCAAACTGCTGGCTGACCAGTCCCACCATTTCAGGTTAGCAAGGAGCCTCGTGGAGTGCCCAAAGCATCCTGAGCTCCATCCAGCACAGACGGACCGTATGCCCGCAGCCCCATCTCCCTCCCGCAGCCAGCTGTGCTGCTCCGCCTGGAGGCTGCAGGACGGGGAAGGGTGCAGCACAGCTTACCCTTAATATCCAGCAGAGAGAAATGGTGGTTGTTGGTGGCTTCAGGTGCCAGCGTGAAGTAGAAACGATGGCCGCTCTGAGGCTCGTCACGGTCCACAACACTTATCGTCTGGATCAGCTATAGGGAGAAAGCAGAAGTGAGATGAGTGCTGCCTCCGCAGCCCCTCCCATGGGCCCTGCTTGCAGGGTCCAGCCCAGCAAAGCATCACCAGCTTCTGCCACAGCAAGGGGTGAGCCTTTGCCCCTGCAGACGGGCTTAGCTGTAGGACACCAGCAAAGTGGTTCCCAGTGTGATGGCAGCTACACGGGAAGATGTTCAGGCAGATGGGGAAGGACAGGCAGGCTGCCACTAGTCCAGAGTGCTGCTCGCAGCATGAGACCACTGCAGGTGCTGATGGAGACCCGGGAGAAGGGCTGGGGGATGCCCATTACCTGGCCTGGCTTGGCATCCTCACACACAGCAGCTTCATAGGGGGTGGCGAGCTCAGGCGGATTGTCGTTCACATCCAGGATACGGATACGGAGAGAGGCTCTCGACACCTGTGAGTGATTATCTGAAACAAAAAAGCAGCTTCAGGAAGTGCCACCTGCTGCTAGCAGGGAGCAAACCTCCTCGTCTCTCCCTGTCCAGAGGCCATTGTAGCTGCACCACTGCTGCCAGCACAGCGGGTCACACAGCACCGCACCTCCGCTTACCCGCAGCACAGACCGTCTCTGCGGACTGGCAGCGTCCGCAGGGCATTGCTCAGCCTCACCATACCCACTTTCCGGTAAAGAAACCCAACTGCTGGTCTGCATACCAAGGACTCCTGAAATGCTGCTGTTGGCCTGACCTACCCCTGGAAAAGCTGAGCGGCCCCAAGCAAGTCCCGCGATAAGGGTCAGTCACCACAGAGGAGCATCTGTGCTGCAGCCAGACAGCACCAAGAGGGGACAAGCAAGTTCAGATGTGAAAACATCACACCCTGACTTGGATCCTGACCCTGACACCCCAGGGGCTAGCAGCAATGGCTGGGAGGTGAGCCAGCAGAGCTAGGAAGTGAAACAGCTGGGATCAACTCAGAGCACAGGGCAGTGATGAAATCTGTCAGTGCACCTCCACCACACCCAGGTGATCCGGGGTTTAATGCTCCATGTCAGGGCACGAGGCTCCTGCCCTGGGACCTTGCACACTGACACCAGTTTTTGCATTGCCATCAGCAGCTTGAGCTTGAGCGTAGCACTGTCTGCCAGCTGGCACGGGGAGGGTCGTGCGGTAGGATCTAGGGCAGCCCCTTCCCCCTGCACTCGCCATCCTGTGCCTCCCACAGGCAGCAGTCCTGGGGGTCTCAGAGCCTGCTCCCCTCCCTTGGGGTGCATGGAGCCACTGGCTGGGCCAGGGTTGCACCCGCTGGTGCTGCTCTGGGCTCGCTCTGCACACGGGACGGCAATTACACCTACAGCTCCATTCACTGCAGTGCCGCTCTACCCCACACACGCACCACAAAGGTACATCAAGCCCTCGCTGTAAGATTATAAATCACTCTAGAGGGCCTAATGTTTGCTGAAGCACCTCACGCGCTTCCAGAAATGAGAACTCCCTCATACTCCACCTCCTTTGTTTTACCCAGAGGTTGCAACTGTGACAGACCCGATGCCTCTCTCCTCGCTCGGGCAGGAGCTCTGGTGCCTGTTTGTCTATAAAATTAATGCTGGCCCCTGCAGATCAGGTGGGGGAGGACCCAGGGGAGAGGAGATTTAGCGCTGCTCCATAATTAGCCAGGAACCTAAGCCCCCTCCCCAGAGCTGCCTTCACCCCGTTCTCACGTTATCACTCCCTCTCACCCAGACCAGCTGCTCTGGTGATTAGATGGTTGTTTTTGGGGGAAGGAGGCAGAAGTCGTGACTAAAAGCCTGGAACTATGTGTTATTTTAAAAGGCGTGTTGATGCAGTAAAATACACTGCAATTGCTTTCAGGGACAGGAGGAAGGGGGAGGCAGCAGGGCAGGAAGGGAGCTCGGGGGAGGTGGAGGGTGCACTGGATGCCCACCGAGGCCACAGATGAGGAGAAGAAAAAGGGGTTCAGTTCCTGCAAGAAGGAGGACAACAGCATCTCATCACCCCTTCCTCAGCCTGCAGGAAGATGGATAACCGTTCCGGCTGCTCAGCTCTGAAGCAGCTGGCATTGCCCTGGAGGCACTGCCAAGAGAAAGATGAGGAAAAGCAGAGAGAGAAGGGAGGAAGAAGAGCTCAGGACCTCGTCTCTCTCCCTTCCCAAGTGTGACCTGGAGGAGCAGTTCCTCCCCCGATGCCCCATGGTGCCAAAGCTGGCTGTGAGCAGGAGCCAATCTCAGCATTGCTGAACTCTCCCAAGGACCTCTCGGCATGGCATGTGCCCTAGGGGCTCTGCAGGGCCAAGTCGGGACACCCACGTGAGCCTGAGCACGGCAGCTTCTCTTTGAGATCACCTCCCACAGCCCCATCAGGAGGGATGCAATCAGCATATTTAGCACTTGCCATAACCACAGGTCTGTCCTCTTCCACAGCATCAGCAAGCAGCTGCCATCAGTGGTTCTTCCTGTGCGAGTGGGGTCATCCACGCACCACAGCACAGTGCTGACAATCCGCGCCGACCCCTCTGCCAGAGCCATAGCTAACATCCCCCTCCCCTGAGCACAGCTGAACGCACGGTTGTCCTTTCTAAACACACCCTGTCACAAAAAAACCCTCTCCTTTTGCCCCTTCAAAAATTGCTTAAGCCCGAGGTTCACGCTTACGCCTGGCTCAGTGACAGGGTTAAAATTTGATGCTCCAGGAACATCACGGTTAGAAATGCAACCATTGCATCGTTGTTTGCTCTTCCAGTGAGGCACATAACAGCTTTTTCTTTTGGCTGTTTCAGCCAAAAGTGTTCTATGATGTATTTGAAGGTCCCTCAAATGCTTTTTTATCAACCTTCCTCATCTTTTCAGCCAGTACCTGGATTTATAGGTGGAAAATATGAGAAATGGTTGGATGTATTTGAAAAAAGTTATCTCCAAAACATTTCCAAAATATAGTTTATGTAACTGTGGCATAAACTGAATTTATGATGGTCAGAAGTGCCATAAAGACTGTTGGAGTACATCTGTGATGAAAAGCACGATGCACCTAACTCATGCAAACTTCATATCTGCAACATCAAAAGCTCTGACCTGTGCTTCCCCTACATGTGCAGAAACGTATGCCCACACCTCTACAAGTGCTCCAGCACACAGAAGTAACTACTCAGCAGGCATGTACACTGCCGGGAAGAACAGCAGACTGGGTGGATGAGGCTGCAGGCAGGTGCAGAAATGCACCCTCGAAAGGATCTGCCAGGCAGCACCTCGCCAGTGGATGGGGCAGGGGGGTTGCATGTGCCAGGCTGAGTGCGGCTGGAGAGGAAGAGTCATCTTCCATTGCAGTGTCTCTCCTCCGTATTCCAGCTCAGCTGACTGACATGCAAATTAGTTTAATTATTTCTTCTTCTAAAATAAATTATATTTTGCAGTGGCTGCAATATGTTGTGTCAGGCAAAATTACATTCAATATTTTTAAACTAATTGATGTCAGCCTTGAGAAAACCTGATTGACAGCAGCGAGGAAACTAGGCTGCTACCTAATGCTTTCCTAAATTAAAATTAAACATGCCGTTTTTCTGCATTTCCTTCAGGAGTTGGAATGCTATTAATCTGAAAAGACTGAGGAGAGACATGGAAAATACACAGAGCAAGGGGGAGATGCTGGAACCACAGCAGCACAGTACAGGAGCTCCCAGCTGATGACTGGCAGCTGCCTTTGCCAACACGGGCTGAATTATTTCAGAGCTGCTGGAGCCTGCCAGGGCTGGGGGACAGAGTTCTGCCCATCACCTCCCTGCTGCAGCGTCTGCGCTCTCCTCAGCGCTCAGCTCAGGACGAACAGCGAGTGCGGCCCGGACCTCCCATGCCAAGGTGCCACTCGGCAGAATGGGCAGCATGGGGAGGGGACGGGCAACGCCCCAGCTTTGAAGCAGGAGAAAAGCACAGTCCTGCTGCATGGTGACACTGAGGCAGAGATTCAGATGCTCTGGCTGAATCTTCAGCCACAGCTCAAAGTATTTTTTCTTAATGTAATTAAGCACAAAAGTAATCTGAACAAGACAATATTCGTCTTAAACATTCAGATGCAAAAAAACGCCAACAACTTGCCCTCTCCCCGGGTTCCGGAGAGCCGACTGCCTGCAGGACAGATGCCGAGCAGCTCTGAGCAACTGCTCTCAAACGCTGGAAGCTTCGCGGCAGCAGCTCACAGTGATGGGAAGGGATTGCAGAGATGCTTGGCCGCCTCTGCCACGGCAGGGAAGGAGGGAATCTGTGGTCACTGCTGCGCTGGGACCCAGCCATTACCCCAACAGAATGTCACACTAACTCACAATAAAGCATTTCGCATTTTTATACTCAGACCTCTACTGTGAAGCTCCAAGTCCAAGCATGGCTGAAGCACACATACCATTTGCACCCCTGCCCGCACACTGCGCCAGGCAGTGATACCACATGCCAAAAGGCGCTCTGCAGTTTTCCTGGGGTCTGAAGCACGGTTTGAGGAAGGCCAGAGTACCGTGGGCTGCTGTTTGTGGTAGTGGCACCAGGGAAACACAGCTCACGGACACTGCTGGGCGCACTGTACGACCCGCTTGAGACCAAATTGGTACGATACCAAATTCAAAACATTTACATTAGCAGGGAAGCTGGAAGAGGCAGGGGTGGAATTTATTCCTTGCTATCTCAGCAAATTGGGAGAATAAAATTCAGATTAGAAAGCCGGGATGGGCCACTCTGCTTTCCAGCACTCGCGCCGCAGCTGTGAAGCACAGGGTGGTTCTGTAGATGTCAGCGCAGCTGCCTGACTGCAAAGCAGAGCGCTGATGGCAAGGACAAAGCAGGGGCATGCCAGGGGTATGGCTCGTCGGACACGGGCGGCTGCACCAGAGGCTGGAGCTGAAAATGTGGCTCCCAGCTGAGGGGAAGCAAAGTGGAAGCAGCGGTTAAGCCAAGTAACATATAAATGCCTCTCACCTCTCCTGAGTCCTGCCCAAACTCAGCAGCATGAGAGTCATTAAATCGCATCCAAACACAATGCTCTGATTAAAGCCAGTCTCCAGCAGGAAGATTTATCATCTCAATTACCAGCAGTGGACACAGCAGTCAAGGCCTCATCATTTCACATGAGCAAAGAGGAAAACAGGAAGAGAATCACTAATATTAGCCCAAGGAAAGTAAACAGCTTGAAAGTGAGATGAAGATTTATCTCTGGAAATGCTTCGCCTGGTCCCAGGCCAGATTTGCTGAACAGCCCCCATGCTTCCCGCTGGCTGCCACATTGCAAGGCTAAATATTCTGCTGGCCACCGACCAGCCAAGACAGCTCCTGCTGGGGAGTGCCTGTTCTGTGGGGGCGACCTGCCCCTTGCTCCTCCTGCCCGCAGCAGGCAGCCCAGCCACCCCACAGCTGCAGCCAGGCACCTGCCGTGGCTTTTCTTACCGCTCCTCAGACGCAAACACACTCGCTTTGGTTACCTGTAGGTGGGTCATGCACCTCTGGACACGGCCTGTGCTGCAGCAGCAACAGGTCCCAGACAGGGCTCTCAAGGGTGGGGGCACTACTCTTGTATAGAGCTGCTCAAACCTCACAGACAGGCTGCCTACAGGAACAAGTGCTGCCAGCCGGCAAGCTTTCCATCAGCTGCTGTTTGGTAAACCCTTCTCAGGACAGTCCTGCCAGCAGGCAGGGAGGGCAGCTCGAGGAGGCTTCAGGGAGGCAAGACCTTGGTGCAACGTGCTCCAGGCCACGCGCCTGTGCACCGCGGGAATCGAGTGGGCACGATGCAGTAGCATGTCTGGTGGGCTCACTCCATTACTTCTGCAAAGTTTACATCTCACTGAGGAAAGAGGAAGAATACCACTTGCCTCCACTGGAGTCGATAATGTCCTGCCCAGCCATGCAGCAGACCCTGCAGCAGCCCGCTGCCCGCATGCCCACAGCAAACACTGCAGGGCCCTGCCAGCCACACCCAGCCCCAGCCACCAATGCCCCACGCTCCGCAGCTGATCCCACTGCATCGGGCACAGCCTGACACTGCTGCACGGCCACACTCTGAAACCCCTCCATCACTCGGAAGGCTGTACCTTTACAACTGCCCTTTCCACCAAAGGATTCAGACATAAATTGTACTTTAAATTCAATATCAGTCATTAATATTTCATGATTACAAAACGTTAAGGATAATGTCACTGGGAGGAATGTCTGGGCAGTTAAAACGGATGAGTCAGAGCTCACTGATGGAAGAAGTCAGAGCACTGAAGAGTCTCCCCAGCTTTTGAAGCAATCCAGCCTGACAGGCTTCCCTGCCAGAGGGGAGCCGCAGCATTTACTGACTTGTTCTGAAATCCTAACCACTGCGTGTAAATATTGTCCTTCTGATTCTTGTCACCTCAAGTTTCCTCTGCATGCTGAGTTGTGCTGCAACACTGTGATCCCATCCTCCCCAGCCACCGCTGTCAGAGCCCTCCCGTGGAGCCCCTGGACATGCTGTGGCTCTGCAGCAGGCTACCATCCCTCCGGTGTGGCCGGGCAGCACCAGCATGCCTGCTCATCCCTGCCTGATGCCAGGCAGGGCTCACATCAGCACCACGGCCAGACAGTGCAGAGGTCACCCCGGCCAGCCAACACAAAGCATCAGCGCAGAGAGGGGCTTGGGACATGCAGTAGAGCCAGAGATGTCCCCGCTGGGGCAGTGGGGGTCTGGCCAGGGCTGCTGCCCCCTCCTCTCCTGGGGCAACAGGGCCAGTGCCCTGGCATCCCAGCCCTGCCAGAGCGGATGGCTGCCACCATGGCAGGGTGGGCCTGCCGCAGGAAACTAATTCCAGGCCCCA